AATCTCTAACATTCTGTGATTCTGTGTGGCGTATCCCTGGAGCATTGTTTTCAGTGCATCCCCATAGTAACAGATATGCTTAAAACCATAATAAATGAAGGTTTAAGAATTAAAAAGACAAGCAGCTCTAACAAGCCTTCTTTTCATTTTGCATGTGTTTTGCTCAGATATTGTCGTCCATTGAATTGCTGCAACATTCTTTACCCAAAATCAACCGGAGTGCTTCTGAACCATCTTTGCATCGTGCCGCCCACACAGAGGACATCAATTCATGCACATTAACATCCACGAGACTACCCATGTTTTAGGATCGTGGTCCCCTTCCCTTATTCTCTCCAGGGGTGGGAAAGGAACAGATGTAACAGAAGTTGTGCTTTTAATGCCTCAGTGTACAGGATCAGTGCCAGCAGGATTATCTGCCTCCAGGTTTTAAGAACAAGCTGCTAAGGATTTCTGCAGTTCTCCTCCTGCAGGGACACAGCTCCACATTGCCTTTTTCTCCAGTTTCTTTTACTGGGATAGTTAACAGACTACGAATCAAGAGATCTATTACTATTTTTTTTAATAGATGCACTTGAGCCTTATTTTTCCCATACACAGAAACGATGGATGTTTCTTTGGCAGTGTTTCTGGACTGATTTGAATCTGTTGATCAGTTGGTCTTTTTTACAGCAAGGATGGCTTGCCTCAGCATTTGAGGAAAGACGATGCGTTACAGTGCTCCTTGATTGTCCCATGCCATATGCCCCTTCACGTTGGCGGAGTTTTGCCTGAAATGGGTATCTGCAAACAAGACTGAGGGAAGAGGGGAAAAAAAAAACTTTCTGGAAATCAGCTCCTGCCTAAGAGCTTTCATCAAGCCAATGAAATAAGTTAAAATGCTAATTCAACACAAAATAGTTTTGCAATAGTTTTGCACATAGAAGAAAAACTCTTGCAAAAGAATGGAATATATTCTGAACTGTACTGCTCAGAGAAGGAAGCTAGCCAGTCTTGCTATGGTCATCTTCAGTAAAGTCTTCAGTTAAGCAGCTTACTTTGGTACTATTGACTTTGTTTCTCGCAGCCCAAGGAGGTGGTAAGTGCAGAAAGACAGGCTTTTGTGGCTGAGAAAAGGCTAATTAACATTATCTGTATACTTCTGCATCCCATCTGAAGCTGTCATCCAAGAGATGCACTATGAAGAGGAAACTGAGCATATACAGTTTTTCTTGCTGATTTGGGTTTTAATTTTGTTTTTATTGTTCCTGAGAAAATGCATTTATTGTAAGCCAAGGTTCCTCTGATTATCTTATTTTAATAAAATAAATTAAATTTTAGGTTTAAGATTCCATGTCATAATTTACTGTAGTTCATAGTTCTGACGTACATCTAGATTTGAAAAATGCAGAAAATGACATTCTGAATAATTTTTTAAAAGTTACTAGGACAGATAATAGCAGTTCAAGTAAAAACGCACTTGATAGGACAACCTATAGATTTCCAGTCACATTCTCTACAGGAAGTTTTTTTGTTCTACTGTAATCATCTTTCAGCAGCATCTTCTAATTAAGATACCTACACTGAGGTGCTACCAAGCTATTTAATGGCACCATTTTCCCTCTACGTTTTATTTTCTGTGAACCTGTTTCTACTGAGAGAAGTGAGTGTTTTCTTGTCTTGGCTGAACTCGGCAGAGGACAAAAAATAGGTGGTTTAATCTAACAATTTATTTTTTAAATAGCATTCTGTTTAAATATGTTAGTTAAGGAAAGAATGGAAGTGAAGTTTCCCTTCTTGGAATGGAAGCTTGGAACATTGTGTGTTTCGCTGTGTGTACAGATGAGTATGGGGCTACTCTTGGAACATATGGCTGGGGTCTAGTGTGGGAAGAGACGAGATGTCTGTAACCACTGTTATCTCCATCTAAACTTCTGCCTAAAATCTGTTAGGAAAAATACTTTTGCTATGAATTTTGACAGCTTACACGTGCAACTCTTAACTGCCGGTGATGTCCAAGTAGCCATTTCTGCTTATTTGCAGCAAGCACAAAAACCCACAAAGCACTTACATAAGCCAAACACATACTTAAAAAATAATATCAGAATGTTGTATAACATGAGAGGGGTGGCATATTAATCCTTAGGTGATCATTGAGAATGACCATAACATTTGCTTGCTAAAAAGTAAATTGAGGGATGATGGAAACTGTTCCATAGAGTTCTGCAGGATTTTTAATAATATTCTTGATATTTTACATCCAGCCCTCTCTAAACATAATCCATCTCTCATTCTACCTTCATTTTAATAAGGGGGGGGGGGGAAGAAATGGTAAGCTGCTTCTACTTTAGCTCTAATTTCCAAAAATAAACCATTAACTCCTAATTTTTAAAACAAGTTATGTGTCTCTCTTGAAAAATTAAAATATTTTTGATAAATAGGCTTATTTTGACCAGCAGTTGATTTCAAATTAGATGAAAGCTGCTAAGTCAAGGTGTGAGTTTCTAAGTCTTAGTGTTCTTAGATTAAAACTTCTCTTTATGTTGTCCCCAGGTAGCTTTGAAAAACAAGTTATCTTTTTAATTTCAGACCATTGTTACCTGATTTATGTCATCTTGGGGCAAAGTAAATCAGGAATGTTTTGTTTAAGGTAAAGAACATCCTCTCCATTGATTTTTTTTTTTTTGGTATATTTTATTACTGGAAATATTTCTCTCTGGAAAAAAGCTATGTGTGAGACCAGCTAGAAAGGAGCTTCAGCTGGGGAGGCTGAGGCGTGCAAGCATTTTGGGTTAGAAACTATGTCAGGCCAGAGCTCTTGAACGTTCATCTTACAATACATCATCTCTTCTAGTGTAGTTTATCTTCCTTCACCTTTGTAATTACACTAATGAAGAATTATACTAACGTGACTTTCTAGGGGGAGACATTCGCTGCTGCCCTCAGATGCCAGTTTTAAAAGGAAGCAGATGAGGAAGTGGTTATAAGGCCTGACCTTGCAGCAAGCACTGCTAAAAACTAACTTGAGAGCAGAAATAATTGTGCAAAAAGTTACATTTCCTAGGTCAGAACAGAGGGCAAAATTTGCATGTCCAGTTGGAGGGAACTGTTGGCCAGCAGAGCTGGGGGAGTTCTCCCTTACACAAATGTTGTGTTTGCATCCAGGACACCTCTCGGCTTCAGTTTTGACCCAGAAATGCCCACCAAGAGGTGAGGCAGGTAATCCTGGAGTCACTGACTTGGTGCCATTTCAAAGTGTTTGAATCCCAGATGAAGGTTCCTGCTCTTTGCTTTATGCCAGTGCCCTGATCCTAGTTTTTAACCATCAGAGCAGCGCCCTGTTTGCTGTGCTGACCTAAGGCTTTCTGCACAAGTGTCTCTACCCTTTGCTTCACAATACAAATCAAACTGAAAGTATGTGTTGTAGAGTTCCAAACTAGATCACTGACATAAGGAGATCAGAAAATTATTTACTTCATTTCATTTTGGCTCCTTCATTTAATCTGAATCAAGGTTTCCCTTCCCATTAAATACATCTGAACTAGTTAAACTGAAGTAAACTTTTAACTACAGGTGTTGCAATGACAACTGAAAGAACTACTTATGCTCATGACAGGTTTTTGTGCCGTAAGTTTAATGCAGCTGTATGTTGCGACTCCAGTATTGCTCTGCCTGAAGGTGTGCACCAGTGCACTTGTATTTGTTTTACAGCAGGTGCTCTGAGAGACTCTTCCTGCCACTACACACTGCAATTATTCTGCAAGGGCAGGAACCTGACTTGCACCCTCTTTGAGAGGCAGGCAGTGTCCAGGCCTCACTACCGAAACACTCGCTGTAGGACAGTAAATGTGATTCTGAACTCTAGGTACCACTTTGAGGTATAATGTGTTAAATCTGAAAAAACTACACTGACCGTTATTCCCAGTGGGTTTTGTAGATATACACTTAGTTGATTTAGTGAAGGGAAAAAAAAACCACAACCCAAAAGCACCCAAAATCGATTTAGCAACAGTTTTTAACAGCTTAAGCTTACAACGGTAAGAGAGGAGCTGTATTTATGCTACCACTCAACTCGCAAGACGGCATATAGGGAGAAAACCCTTCTGGGCAATCAATTGAACTTTTAAAATATATTTTAGTATTTTTGTTGCCATACAAAAACTAATCTAAAAACGTTTACCAGGACTGCACAAGTAAACCACAGGGCCCGTTCACTCTAACTGTGTTGCAGAAAGTAAAAGCATGGCTAAGTAAATAGCTGGATTGCTATAGAGGACAGCACCTTCCCTTCTCTTTACTGAGAAGTAGCAGAATCCTCGTCGGCCCCAGAAAGGTGCATGAAGAGGTCTCCAAGTTCTGTTACTTCATCATCCGTGCTGGTCACAGTCCTGCTTTCTCTGTCTTCAATAAAGTCCCACAGCCGAACAGAATTGAAGAACTGGAACAGAAGAACATCTGATTGAGCACAAACCGGTTACATGCCACAGTGCCATCAAAGCATTTTCCCTTATCAGTCTTATTTCTTCATTTAAAAAAAAAGAGTCAGAAGTTGAGACTTAAAAGCTGGGTTAGTGCTCGGATTTACTACCAGGCTCAGCACCATTTGCTGTTAAAGTGAGAGCTGCTCTCTGCAGTAAGAATAGTGTTAGGTCAAACGAACCAGTCTTACTGAGCTATGTCTAAACACTGTTAAACCAGCGGGTGTGCCCTGGCCACACAGCACCCTGGCTGAGCCGTCATGAGTGTCTGAGAAGGCTCCGACCTTGTTAGCGGGTCTTACTGCCAAAGATACACAGGCAAGTGAGATGAGTTTGTAATACTGTAAGCGAAAGCTTTAATGTCAGAATTCCTTTGAAGAAAGGTTTGCCAGGAGAAGGACTGGTTGACAAAATCAACGATACTAAGTTTTGGCTGTTAAATGAAAGGTACCTTCTCCCTTCCCTAATAAAAAACCTCTGCCTCAGGGAAAGTCGAGGGATGCTGTCCTCACTTCTCTAAGGCCTTGTGCGGTATGAAACATATTTAAGCAGTGTGCTTTCCATTCAAAACATGTTTTTTAATGACACGGGACTGGAGTATTCCCTTACCCGCACCGTCCCCTCCGAGCTGAGCTGTTTCCGTGGTTTTTCAGGTTCAGCTCGCGTCCCGTCAGGATAAGCGTGAAGGTAAAGACACTTCCCTCCAAACGGGCAAGTTCCTTTCCCTTGCTCAAAGTACTTGCAGGGTTTCTTCCTGATTTAATGAGAAGAGAGAGAGTTATTACTGTCAGCTGGTAGGAAACAGGTACAGTTCCCTCTCCACGGCTGCTTATCCTGGGTCAGCGGTGCAAAGTCCTGCTCCTGTTAACGCGCCAGGAGCGTTGGTGTCCTGTTCCCTAATTGATGGCAGCCAAAAGAGCTGGGAAAGATTATTAAAAGTAAACAAAGAAATACAAAGAAGAACAGCATCGTAAGTCAAAAAAACACAAACTACCTTATAGGCAAGGAAAGGGAGGGATGTTCAAAGAATGTCATCGATCCTCCCCCTGCGTTTTCATGTCATGCACATTTCTTGAGCAGTGTTCCTCTCCTGTATTCTCTACCACTGCATTTGTATGAGCCTGTTCTTCTCCTCATCACCTCCTTTGGAAGTTCTATGACCAGACTTGGTTAATTTACGTTTCCAGCAGCTTTGTTGTTCAGCTAAGCTGTTCTAGCTGTGTAGCACATTTTTCTAATGGTGTTCCTTACAGGGGCAGGGGGGCGCGCGCTGATGGCTTCTTCTACAACAAAAACCAGCTGAGGAGGAAACTACAGAGAAAATGCAACTGAACTTGTAAACTTAATATACAAGTAGTGATGACACTGGTTCCTAAGGCATAGATACAGTCTATCAAGTAGCAACTCCATGCTGAAGAAAACACAATAACAACAAAACCCCAACCCACCAAAACCCCCCAGCCAGGCACTGCATTGAAAGCACAATGAATTTGTCCTGGTTTGGAATTCGTGGTCTGTGACTTCCAAGTTTCTAGGGCTGACTTTCTCCCTCCTGTGTTGGCGTATAAATTGGAATGACCCCTGCTCTTAGCTTAGTCTCCCCTTTGTTAGTATTTTTTCATTCCATGCAATACTAAAGCCTCCCGTTAAACTGACTGCCAAGAGATTTCTCCATGAAAACATCTTTGGTACAGAAATTCCGTCTACAGCACAACCTATTAGTCTTAGCTGTGCACTTGAGCAAAACCCCTTTCTTGTATTCTGTACAACAGCCTGACAAGAATCAAAACCCAGCACTGACACCTGTATGCCAGTACCACAGCAGCTCCCCTTCCTGAGAACACGGCCAGTTAAACACTGCACTGAGCCCAGGCTCTGGAGCGCAGCTTACATTCAAAGTCCTTATGAATTCAAATGAAAAACTGCGACAGCAACAGGGTGGTGAAAACAAACTGTATCTGAAGAACCTCCATTTAAACTGATTAATGTTATTCAAATATTTTGCCCTACTAGGAAAGAAAACAAGACAAGTGCTGGATGAAGCATTTCATGGAGCAGCACTGCATTCAGCAATTCTGCTGCTGTGTTCCAACAGGACTTCAGAGGCTTAAAGCCTCCCAAGCAGCTGAAAAGCCAGTAGAAACAGCTCTGCACGGATTTAAGTAAGGCCTATTTTTTTTCTCTACGCCACAGGGCACATTTAGAGGTTGGTGCACGTCCCAGAATAAAACTGCACAACCTTCAGCAACACAGTCACTGCTCCCTGGGGTCCAGCACAGATCTGCTTGTTTACTCTTACAAAGAGTGAGCCAGGAGCTAAGTCATGGCACCTCCCTGTTCTGCAGTCATGCAGTATTTTTCATTTTTAGCAGACATTACAAAAGCCCTGTGAATTTTTTATCCCATATTTCAAGAGACAACCTTCCAGGCACTTACGTCGAAGGGATCAACAGAAAATGCACGAAGCCAATGTTGGCAAGTGAACTGAAAGAGCTTCTCCATTTCAGAGCACAGCAAGTTTCAATAATTTCTGATCTGTAATTATGCGACAGACCCTTGCGTTGCAGTCACAGAGTTAAATAAAAGTGGTAACAGAGATTAAGAGTTCTCTGCAGCATGGTTTGTAACTACATAGTTTAAAAATACAGGCACCTTGATGGACTAAGTCTTAGTGTACCTATCTTAAGGACGATGTAAATAGCACTCATGGTTACACTTACCCCACGCCCTGCTTAAATGCTTCAATCAGCTCGTTTTTCTTCTCCTGGTCTTCTACCCAGTACACGCTGGGAATTACAAACTCGGATATCACACGGCACTCCGGGCACGACCTGCACGGACGGAGACAAACAGCAATGCTCGGTTACTTTCTGAGAGCAATACTCCTCCATAAATTAGCCAGAAAGAGCAGTCTCCTGAGGGAAATGGAGACACTTTGTTGCACTGAACCGCCACCTCGCGGGTTGTACAGCACACGGGCACATTTGTTATTAGTTTCAACTGAAATAATTCCGTCAGGGCTTGTGCTACCTTGCGTTTGTTTCTAGACTTGAACAAAAGCAACAGGTACCTTCTCAATACGCAGAAATAAACTCTCTATCTGCTCATCCCAATATAAAGTGGAACTGTCAGGCTAGGCAGCAGGAAGCCAAACCAGGTGAAAAAAGTCTCCAAGCTTTTGAAACGTGATCTGACTTCTAACAGCAGTGATGAGTTGGTCACTTAGTGCTTTTAAGAGATGATAGATTTCTACATGAGGAACTAAGATCAGGAATCAAGTACCTCCCCAAGCCTGGGAAAGGCTTCATCTCCCTCCCCACCACTCCCACAGAACACCTTGTCTCCCAGCAGGCAGGACTTTCAGAGCTCAGCCAAGTCCCCCATTGAGATCAACTTTGCAACAACTGGTATGTTCACCACTAAGGAGAAATGTAAAAACATGTTTGAAGAATTTGTGTTAGTATTTAATCTGTACTCAAACCGGTTTCCAGGGTGCTGTTTCTGAAAAAAACCCTCCCAGTCTGCCCTCCTGTAGGCGGAATATCTCAGTACCAGTCCACCAGAAGCGCGACTCCAACACAGGTTATGTTCTAACAAGCTGATATTCACTCCAATGAATTTATAATGAAAGTTGGGCAAAAAAAGTCTATTTGGGCAAAAGACTGAAAATACTTGCCACCTTTTCCTCAGCGTGCTTGTAACTTGAGGGAGATTTCAAAGAGATGCTCAAAAAAAGGAAATTGTCCTAATTGGATATTTTAAATTCTCTCATCTAAGGAGGAGCATGTTTGGAATGCGTGTTTTATACAGCCAGAAGAGGAAGGCATTTACTCAGACAAGGATAAATGGGTGATTAATGGGACATTTAGCTTGAGTAAGTTATTTTAGAGAAAAATCCAGTAATTAAGCACATACGTAGAAAAAAAGGAGCCACTGTTTTTGCAGTCAGGTACTGTGAAGGGCTCAGGTTAAGGAGGTCTTGGCTGTTCTAGAGTCCACTCATGCACACTCTACCCCTCCACCAACGCAGTGAGAGAGGGCCAGGGTACGAAGGGCCAAGCTCTTCCCATCCAGGACCACAGCATGTAAATAAACTGTTAGCAGAGGATTCCCCATGCATCCTACTCATCTTGAAGGCAGCTCTTCTCACAGCCATACTCCAGTGTCCTAGAATTTGCCAGCACTTGGAGCAGGATTTTTTGAGCTCATCTATTATTAACGGCTGAGTTAATATTGACAGCTCTGGAATCCCTTATCACCAGTTTTATTTCTATGTCAAGCCACAGCACACCGGAGAGCCTGTCTCACTGGCACAGGCTGCAGGGAAGAGACTCTGGTTAATGCCGACTTACTTGATGATTTGATTCTCAAACTGCTTGGCACACCTCCACTGCCGGATGCAAGCCAGGCAGTACGTGTGATTGCAGTTGGACAGGATCCCAAACCTCCTCTCCGAGGCCGACAGTTTCTCATACACCACCTCCATGCAGATACTGCACACTTTGTCCTGGCTGGCCTGGAAGGCAAACGCCTTCTCCATGTCGTGCTCAAATGTCGCCATGCACATCTGTCACGGGAGAGACGTCAGCTGTTATTGCCCTCCACCTATCAGCCTGTTCCTTGTAAAACAGAAGTGTCTGAACGGGATCTATTACAGGGAAATGCTGATGAAGAACATCCTCCCCTTCAGCATCACCATTTATTTTGAAGAACATTAAATTCAATCACATATTTCAGCCCTTCAATGTTTTCTGCAGCTTCAGGAATATCAGAAGTCCCCACTCTTCCTTTGCACCTTTCTGTATCTGTAACGGAGCAGGTATTGCACCAGGAAATGCTTCAAACACCTCTAAAACCATCTAGCTCAGGATCCTGAACGGGTGCCACGCTCTGCTCAGCATTAAGGCCACGCTCGTTCACTGGCTATTAAGCTTCACCTCGCTAAGGAATGAGTCTCTCGTTAAGGGCTTTCCTATAGCCTCTCTCAGCTCAGCTCCCAGCGGTGACCACCAGTGACCAGCTTACACCGCCACAGCGAGCCGGTGTTACACCTGCAGAGTTTCACCTCTTGCTTTGCAAAGTTCTCAGGACCTGACAAGTCAAATACAATTAAGAGACTTTAAATTATAATAATAAAAGAAAGGATGCTAAATAATTCCACATTAGTAGGAGCGTTCTGACCACCTCACCTTTGCACCCAACACTGACCTCTGCTCGGGAGCTGACACCTGGCAGCAGCGGGGATGGGACGCCCTGCCACACACCACCAAGACCCCGGGAGAAGCGAGAACTACACCAGCACGCTTTGCAAGTACACGCTAACAGAACAAAATCTGAGATTTGTAACCCCTTGGCTTCCACTGCAGATTCTGGAGCCACTTAGGGCTCAGTAACCCCTAACGCTGCTGCTCCTTCTCCTTCTCAGCCTGGAGAACTCCTGTTTTTGACCAGCCCTGACCCCAATCTGTAGCCAGGCAGAGAGAAGAGCAGCTCCTTAAGCCCATCCTTACCCAGCTGATTCCTCTCCCAGTCCCTCCAGCCGTCCTACTTCAATTTCAACTCCAAAATCTTTGTGCTCCGTTCAGCCGGTCCCTACTTGACCCTGCACTGAAATCAGCCAGGACCGAGAGGAGACACCCGAAGAGGCGACCCGGCAGAGCGGCATGGCAGTCTCTCAGAACGCGCTGGCAGCCCACGGTTCCGCTCTCCCACTGTACGGAACGTACCATCAAGAACTCATGTAAGCTACAAAAGACATTTTCCTGGTAGGGTTTTAGGGTGTTCTGCGAGAAGACTGCAGGCCAGCTTCCGATAAGGATGAAATGGGAAAAAAAGTTGCAGTATCACCCCCCAGGTGCCTGAACAGACCACTCTTAGAATAATTTCACAGCTAGATAAACAATAAAACAAAAGCTCTTTGGAACAGCAGGCTCTTCTACAAAACTCAGCGTAGAGCAAATGAACCAAACCTTGCGCTGAGCAAAGCAAATCTCACACTGATGCCAGGAGAATATTACCATCTCGTGAGCCTTCCTCTGCTCTTGGTCGAACGGGTGAAGCACTTGCAGCCCGCAGATCTCACACACGTCTCCGTGGAGGTACAGGCAGCGATCTCCGAAGTGGCAGGCTCCCGCTGCCGCATAGGGACACAGCTGCTCTCCGTCAGCACACGAGCTTCCAGCCACCGCATCTTTCAGTCCGCTGCAAATAGCTTCCAGATAGGAGTGGGGCTTCATCTCCAGGTGATCGTTTTGGTCACTGCAACACACCACATCGCTTGTGGTGCTGGGTTTCTGCTTCTCTTCATTCAAGCCACACAGATCTTAGGAAACAGAAACACAGTATGAACCATACAAGACACTGCATAAAACCCCCACACGAAGCTCCACGTACTTTCTTTCCAATGATTACCAGGGTTTGGGTTTTTTTTAAATTTTCTTCTCAATTAAATCTCATCTCTGAGCCCCTTTTGCTGACGAATCAAAAGAATTTCCAAACTACCTACTGAAAAATTCGATTTCAAGATTTCCACAGTTGTTTTCTGTTTACAAATAGGCTAAAAAAAATCCTCTGATTTCACATCAGGGCAACAGGCCCATTTGGTGTGCCAGCCAGCACAGGCGGGAGCAGCGTGCAGGCGGCGGGGGCTCGGCTCCTCTGCCCTGCCTGTTGGGGGTGGGTGGATGGTTCTGTGCTTGCGGGCTGGCACGGTCCTCCCCAGAGCACACGCTGGATACCGTGGCACAAAGCAGCCAGGCTTCTTGCCATTTCAAATGCCCTCAATGCCGAGAACAAGACACACAAGAAGATCTGAGGAGTAGAGATATTCTAACCAAAAAACCCAAATTGAAACAAAAAAAAATCCCAAAAAATCCCCCAATACAAAACCCGTCCTTCAGGGAACACCGGGCTGAATGCCAGCCAGCAAGACAGCGCTGTAAAAAGGTACCGACAGGCACGAGCGTTTCCAGGAAAGAGGCCACATCGGGTTGGCAGTCCGACCGCGCCACTCCAGCTGTCCTCGAAACTCAAGTAAGAAAAGGAGAAAAACTACCCAACTCCTATCAAGAGTCAAGGAGGACGAGCAAAGCAGCGCTCCCACTCACTTCTGTCCCTGAGCACCAGCGTCTTCTTCTCCCGCTTGCTGGTCTCGTGCAGCTTGCTCCTGATGACGGGCGCGCCGTGCTCGGGAGGGTGGCGAGGGGTGTGCGGCACTGCTGAGGAGAGGGGTGGCGGTGCAGGGGCCGCTGCAGCCCCCGACGCAGGAAGTCTGGTGTGATCATACCTACAAAAAGAAAAAGACAGAACAAGTGTTACAAAGCCTGAACTCGGCACGGCAGCAGGACACTGCCCTGGTGAATACTTAAACAAAATACAACTGCACAACTACTTTTTATTTTAAAAGGATTGTTCTGACAAGTTGACTGAACTGCTCAGTCTCTCTCTAAGCAAGACGAAAAGGCTTCTCAGTCTTAAAAAATGGATGCCTCTGAAAACACACCTATATTTCCTTCTCCAGAGACACCCAGCACAGCTGAAAAAACATTATTCACGTGCATAGTAAATGAGATCTTCGTCATCCCCTCACACAAACAGGTTTGCTGACATTTCTCAGAGAAGCAACATCAAAACACTGTGCAGGAAGGAGCAACATTTTGTGATCTCCATTTCCCCCTGCAAGCTGCAACACTTTCTGCTCCCCCACCACAGGAGAAGATGCGGTATTCGCACACAGGACAGGAAAGGACTCAAAACACCCAGCAAAGCTCTAGAAACGCACTCCAGCTGCAGCGCAGAAGCAATCCGTGCAGTAAAGAGGCTGCCCAGCAGAGCCACGGACAGCCCTGAACGCTGCAGTATTTTTGAGGGGAACAGAAACATTCTCCCCATCTGTGCCTGGTCCTGTACTTAGGATGCGTACATGCCCGCGCTACGCCATACGCACAAATCACCTCTGTGCATCGAGCGCCCCAAATGCCAGCAAAACAGCTGGGGTAAAACACAACCCACTTTGCAGCCGTCCCGACAGCCCAGTCAGTGTACGACGTGGTCCCTGTGACTAACGCAGCCGCCAGCAACATCACACAGCGCTACATCACCGGGAGCAGCTGATGGAAGCTGCAGCAACCACCAACGCCCAACCTCCTGATCCAAGTTTGGTACCAGGAACTAAGCAAAGGGAAGGAAAGGAAATCCAACCAAGCTGCTGCGATCACAGTAATGCCGTGAGATCCCCGGGGCTTGGCAGGCGAAGGCACAAACACGGGCTTCTCGTCTGTCACTAGAACTTTTCCACGAAGGAGCCACAGGCTGCCCTGTGGCACATTCCTGTGACAACATTAACTAACACGTAGTGTTTACTAGAGAATTTCTCAAGGGGTTTTAACTAGAAGACTTCAGGAAAAGGTGTGGTACTGTTTGGCTTTCCCACCAAACAGAGAGGAGCATAAGAAAAAGAACTTTGCTTTAAGACAAAACTGAAAATCCCTGAAATTGTGCGTGAGTCTGCATGAAGGAGGCTCTGAGCCCCATCAGGAGGCCCGAGTGAAGCTCTGCTGGACCACTGCCTGCTTCCAGCCACTTCGGCAATACAGAAAGCAACCCTTGCTGCCAAAGGGCTCTTTCAGGTGAGGCTGCACACCCGAGGCTCTGCTTTTTCGTGTCTTACTGAATGAAAACCAGTTTGATTCCCTGGAGTTCAAAGCTGACTGCGCACGATTATTACACCCAGTTCTTCTGAACTGGCCATTCCAAAAAGATCCGAATCCTTACCTGCACCGAGCTCCGTAGGCACACTGTCCCTTCTGGTAATACTTGCAGACGGTGGAGGATTTGCTCGTAGATAAATCATGTGAGAACAGGCACTTCTTCCCCTCCCGGCACACGCCCTGCAGGTAGTACCTGCGGGAGAGGCAGCTCGGCTCAGAGCAGCCCG